TTCATATCCTTTGCCCACTTTTTGATGGGGTTGTTTGTTTTTTTCTTATAAATTTGTTTAAGTTCTTTGAAGATTCTGGACATTAGCCCTTTGTCAGATGAGTAGATTGCAAAAATTTTTTCCCATTCTGTTGGTTGTTGGTTCACTTTAATAATAGTTTCTTTTGCTGTGAAGAAGCTCTTTAGTTTAATTAGATCCCATTTGTCTATTTTGGCTTTTGTTGCCATTGCTTTTGGTGTTTCAGTCATGAAGTCCTTGCCCATGCCTATGTCCTAAATGGTATTGCCTAGGTTTTCATTAGGGTTTTTATGGTGTTAGTTCTTATGTTTAAATTTTTAATCCATCTGGAGTTAATTTTTGTATAAGGTATAAGGAAGGGATCCAGTTTCAGCTTCCTGCATATGGCTAGCCAGTTTTCCCAACACCATTTATCAAATAGGGAGTCCTTTCCTTATTGCTTGTTTTTGTTAGGTTTGTCAAAAATCAAATGGTTGTAGATATGTGGCATTATTTCTGAGGCTTCTGTTCTGTTCCATTGTTCTATATCTCTGTTTTGGTACCAGTACCATGCTGTTTTGGTTACTGTAGCCTTGTAGTATAGTTTGAAGTCAGGTAGCGTGATGTCTCCAGCTTTGCTCTTTTTTTTTTTTTGCTTAGCATTGCCTTGGCTATGTGGGCTCTTTTTTTGATTCCATATGAAGTTTAAGGTGTTTGTTTCCAATTCTGTGAAGAGAGTCAGTGGTAGCTTGAAGGGGATAGCATCGAATCCCTAAATTATATTGGGCAGTATGGCTATTTTCACATTATTGATTATTCCTAACCATGAGCATGGAATGTTTTTCCAACTGTTTGTGTCCTCTCTTATTTCCTTGAGCAGTGGTTTGTAGTTCTCCTGGAAGAGGTCCTTCACATCCTGTGTTAGTTGTATTCCTAGGTATTTTATTCTCTTTGTAGCAATTGCGAATGGGAGTTCACTCATAATTTGGCTCTCTGTTTGTCTGTTATTGGTATATAGGAATGCTTGTGATTTTTGCACATTGATTTTGTATCCTGAGACTTTGCTGAAGTTGCTTATCAGCTTAAGGAGATTTTGAGCTGAGATGATGGGGTCTTCTAAATATACAATCATGTCATCTGCAAATAGACACAATTCGACTTCTTTTCCCAGTTGAATATCCTTTATTTCTTTTTCTTGCCTGATTGCCCTCGCCAGAACTTCCAATACTATGTTGAATAGGAGTGGTGAGAGAGGGCATCCTTGTCTTGTGCCAGTTTTCAAAGGGAAGGGAATATCCATTTCTGAGAGATGCAAGACTCCACTGATGGGAAATTTTGGCTTGAGAATTCTACTATTGCCTTGTTCAACCTTACTTAGACTGCAGAGCAATCTAGTAAGCTTCTACCTAGCCTTCCTTCCTTCTCCCTCTTCTTTACTCAGTCAGACCTGCAGCACAGTCTGATGGTTCTCTGTCTTTCCTGGCAGTCTCCCAATTTTCTCTCATAGACATTCCCCTAATAACTTTCTTGCACATTTAGTTTTGTCTTAATGCCTACTTGTTAGAGAACCCAAACTGACAACTGGCACATAGAAGATGTTTAATAAAAGAATTAGAGAAATAAATGAACTTAATAAATGAATTTAAAAGTCCTTTTATTAATCGTTTTTCAAATTAATAAACTTTTTTTTCAAAGAGTAGTTTTAGGTTCATAGAAAATTTGAGTAGAAAGTACAGAGAGTCCCCATTTACCCCGTTACCTCCACACATTCACAATCTCCCCCACTGTGGACATCCTATACCACAGTGGTACTTTTGTTACAATTGAAGAAACTATATTGACATATCATTATCACCCAAAGTTTATACTTTTGGTTTTGTACATTTATGGGTTTAGACAAATGTATAATGGCATGTATTCCTCATTGTGGCATCATACAGAATAGTTTTCACTACCCTAAAAATTTTCTGTGCTTTACCTATTCATCTCGCCGCCCCCCCCGTAGCCCCTGGCAACCACTAATATTTTTACTGTCTCCATAGTTTTGCCTTTTCCAGAATGTCATATAGTTGGAATCACACAGTATATAGCCTTTTTAGATTGTGTTCCTTCATTTAGTAATATGCATTTAAATATCTTCCATGCCTTTTCATGGTTTGATAGCTAACTTACTTTTAGCTCTGAATAATTTACCATTGTCTGGATGTATCGAAGCTTATTTGTTCATTCACCTATTGAAGGACATCTTGGTTGGGCAATCATTAACAAAGCAATCATTAGCAAACCAAGTACAGATTGGCATCCCAAGGTTTGGCAATCATTAACAAAGCAATCATTAACAAACCAAGTATGGACTTTTGTGAGAACATAAGCCTTCAAATCATTTGGGTAAAAAAATATAATTGCTGAATTGTATAGTGTGTTTAGTTTTGTAAGAAACTGCCAAATTGTCTTCCAAAGTGTTTGTATCATTTTGCATTTTCACCAGCCATGAGTGGGAGTTCCTCTTCTTTCACATTCTCTCTGGCATTTGATGATGTCAGTGTTTTGGATTTCGGCCATTCTAATAGGTGTGCAGTGATATCTCATTGTTTTAATTTGCAATTCCCTAATGGCATTTGATGTTGAACATTTTTTCATAAGTTTACTTTAATATATTCTTTGGTGAAGTGTCTGTTCAGATATTTTGCTTATTTTTAAATCAGCTTTATTTATTTCTTATTCCTGTATTTTAGTAGCTCTTTGTAAATTTTGGATACTAGTCCTTTATCAGCTGTGTGTCTCATGAATATTTTCTCCGATTTTGTGGCTAGCCTTTTCATTCTTTTGATATTGTCTTTTGCAGACCAGCTTATCAAATACTTCTTTTACGGGTCATGCCTTTGGTGTTGTATCTAACAAGTCATTGTCACATCCAAGGGCTCCTAGATTTTCTCCTATGTTCTCTTCTAGGAATTTTATAGTTTTGAATTTAAATCTTTTATATATTTTGAATTAATTGTCAGAAGAGTGTAAGGTCTGTGCCTATATTTATTTTTTTATGTGGATGTCTAGTTGTTCTAATACCATTCATTGAAAGACGATCTTTCTTCCCATTGTATTGCCATTGCTCCTTTGTTAAAGATCAGTTGGCTATACTTACGTAGTTCAATTTCTGGGCTCTCTACTCAACCTATTTGTTGTTGTTGTTATTGTTGTTGTTGTATTTTCTTTTGCTCTATTTTTTTCATCAATACCACATGATCTTGATTACTGTAGCTTTAGTTACTGTGTTTTGATCACTGTAGTAAATATAGAAGTCAGTTACCATCAGTCCTCTGACTTTGTTTTGCTTCTACAATATTGAGTTGGTTCTTCTGAGTATTTTGACTCTCCATATACATTTTTGATTCAATTTGTTGATATTTACAAAATACCTTGCTGAGATTTTAACTGGGATTGCATTAAATGTTTAAATCGAGTTGAGTAAAATTGACATATTGACAATATTAAGTCTTTCTATCCATGAATATAGACTACATCTTCATTTATTTAGTTCTGCTTTGATATCTTTTATTAGAATTTTGTAGTTTTCCTTATACAGATTTTGTACATATTTTGTTATATTTATAATGAAGAATTTTTGTGGGGATGCTATGTAAATGGTAATGTGTTTTTAATTTCAAATTTCACTCATATGTTGCTGATATAAAGAAAAGTGATCAGCTTTTGCATATTAGGCTTCTATGCTGCAACCTTTACTTAATTGTTTATAAGTTCCAGGGATATTTTGTTAATTCTTTTGAATTTTTTATATAGACAATCATTTCACCTGTAAATAGAAGCAACTTTGTTTCTTTTTTTCCCAATCTATATCACTTTTATTTTATTTTCTTGTCTTACTGCATTAACTAAAACGTCTAGTATAATATTGAAAAGTAGTAGTCACTAGGGACATTCTTGCCATGATTCTGGTCTTTTCAGGAAAGCTTTGAGTTTCTCACCGTTAAACATGATGTTAGGTATAGGTTTTTTGTTTTCTGTAGATTTTCTTTATCAAATTGAGGAAGTTCCCCTCTATTTCTAGCATGCTAAGATTTTTTAAAAATCATAAATAAATGTTGGATTTTATTAAATGCTTTTTCTGCATCTATTGATATGATAATGTGATTTTTTTTCTTAGCCTATTAATGTGATGAATTATATTAATTCATTTTCAAATTAAGCTAGCCTAACATACCTGAGATAAATTCTACTTGAATTTATAATTGGTATATAATTCTAGTTGGTATATAATTCTTTGGATACATTTTCGGATTTGATTTACTAAGACTATGTTGAAGATTTTTGCATCTCATCACTCATGTTCATAAAATACATTTATCTATAGTTTATTTTTTTAAGATGCCTTTGTCTGGTTTTGATATTAGAGTAATGCTGGCCTTGTAGAATGAATTAGGATGGATTCTCTCTCCTTTTTTTTGGAAGAGATTGTAGAGAATTTGCATAATGCCTTCTTTAAATGTTTGGTAGATTTCACCAGTGATCTCTCCGGGACTGGTACTTTCTGTTTTGGGAAGTTATTGATCGCTGATTTAATTTTTTTTAAAAGATGTAGGGCTATTTAGATTGTCTTTTTTGTTTGTTTGTTTGAGTTTTGGCATATTCCATCTTTCAAGGAATTGGTCAACTTTATCCAGGTATCATAGTAGTGGGTATAGAGTTGTTTATAATATTCCTTTATTATCTTTTTAATACAAATGAGTTCTGTAGTAATGTTTCTGCTTCATTCCTGAAATTAGTAATTTGTGTCTTCTCTTTTACTTTTGGTGCCTGGCTAGTGGCTTATCAATTTTATTTATCTTTCCAAAGAATTAGTTTTAGTTTGGTTGATTTTCTCTATTGAGTTCCTGTTTTCAATTTTATTGATTTCTGCTCTTTTATTTTTTTCTGCTTAATTTGAATTTAAGCTGCTTTTATTATTTTAGTATCCTAAAGTGGAAGCATAAAGTATTGATTTTACATACTTTTCATTTTCTAATATTTGCATTCAATGCCATAAATTTCTCTCTAAGCACTGCTTTTGCTGCATCCTGCAAATTTTGATAAGTTGCATTTTCATTTAGTTCCAAATTTAAAATATTATCTTGAGATTTCTTTTTTGAGGCATGTGTTATTTAGAAGTGTAGTTTAACCTTCAATTATTTTGGGATTTTCCAGCTATCTTTCTATTATTGATTTCAAGTTTAATTCTACTGTTGTCTGGGAGTAGATGTTTTATGATATTTATGCTTAAAAATTTGTTAAGGCATGTTTTATGACCCCGAATGTGGTCTATCCTGGTTAATGTTCCATGTGAACTTGAGAGAAATGTGTAACCTGCTGTTGTTGGATGAAGTAATCTATGAATTTCAGTTACATCCAGTTGATTGATGGTGCTGTTGAGTTCAACAATGTGTTTACCAGTTTTCTGCCTGAATCAGTCCATTTCTAATAAGATGTGTTAAAATGACTAATCCTAATAATGAATTCACTCATTTCTCCTTATAGTTTTTATCAGTTTTTACCTCACATATTTTGACACTCTGTTGTTAAGTGCATCCATGCTGAAGATTATAATGTTTCCATGAAGTATTTACCTCCTGTATCATTATGTAATGCCCCTATCCATTCTTGATAACATTCCTTGCTCTGAAGGCTGCTCTGTCTGAAATTAGTATAGTTACTTCCTCTTTTTAAAAATTAGTGTTAGCATGTTATATTTTTCTTCATTACTTTTAATTTCCATGTATCTTTATATCTAAAGTTGGTTTCTTCTAGACAGCATGTAGTTTGGTCTTGTTTTTGATCCACTCTAACAATCTCTGTCTTTTAATTGCTGTATTTCAATCATTAACATTTAAATGATTATTGATGTAGTTTGATTAATATCATCTTTGTAATGTTTTTGTCTGTGTCCTTGTTCTTTCTTCCTAGTTTGCCTTTCACACTTTTTCTGCCTTTTGTGATTTTAATTGAGCATTTTATAAGATTCAATTTTCTCTCATTTCTTAGCATATTAATTATGGTCGATTATGGTTTGTTTGTGTTTGTTTTTGCACTCCCCCAGGCTGGAGTGCAGTGCTGTGATCATAGTTCACTGCAGCCTTGAACTCCTGGGCTCAAGTGGTCCTCTCACCTTTGTCTCCAAAAACACTAGGATTTCAGGTGTGAGCCATCCTACTTGGCCCATGTGCTTTTTTAAAAAACTATTTTTATTGCTTGCCCTAGAGTTTGCAATGTACATGTATATTCGCTAATCCAAGCCCACTTTTTTTTTTTTTTGAGACAGAGTCACTCTGTCACCCAGGCTGGAGTGCAGTGGCATGATCTCTGCTCACTGCACCTCCACAGTGAGGTGAATTGCTTGAACAGTTCTCTGCCTCAGCCTCCCGAGTAGCTGGTATTACAGGCACCTGTCATCACACCTGGCTGATTTTTGTGTTTTTAGTAGAGACGGGGTTTCACCATCTTGGCAAGGCTGGTCTCGATCTCCTGACCTCATGATTCACCCACCTCAGCCTCCCAAAGTGTTGGGATTAGAGGAGTGAGCCACCAAGACCGGCAGAAGCCCACTTTCAAGTAACACTACACACCTTCACAGGTAGTGCAAGTACCTTATAATAATTCATATATTGAAATTCCATTGCATTCTTTATACCAGACTAATTATTTTATGTGTGTTTATGTTTTATGCATGCTAATTATTATATGTGTTTATTTATATTTTCTCATCAATCTTTACGGTAACTCTGAAAAGTACCGATTGCTCACATTTTTAAAATGAGAAAAATCTAAGGCTCTGAGGTATTAGAGTGAGTCTAATATCACACAGATAGCATAATCATTCCAATCAGAGATATTTTACTAACTTCAGCCTTCTTTTATGAAATAGCTACCTCTCCATAAGACCTACTTTTCCCTGATGCACACAGTGAAGTGTTTAATATCTTCCCTGCAAGCCAAGTGAAAATTATGTGAACTGGTAAGGCAAGATATTGTAATAAAACAAAGCGCAATTTTCTCTGATATTTCATTCCCTTAGAACTGTCTCAAGGCTGCAAGTTAATTTTGTTGATTACTTTTATCTTAGGCCAGTGATTCCTAATCTTTTAAGAATTTCAATATCCTATTTATTTCATAGGCAAAGCACCCTGAGAGGAGACAGTTCTTCCCAAAGTTTGGAAAGACTTCTTCTAGTACATAGGCACAATTGATTATTTTGCCAGTCTTTTATGACAAGTAAACTGGTTTTTCATTTACGCTGGTGCTACAAATATTGTTTTTAAATAAACTTGAGTGGAAATCTGTGTTGACTTCAAGGAAACAAATAATAGTAAGATGGTGAGTACATATGGTACAGATTAAGAATCATGAAGTACTGAAATCTGGAAAACACTGCTGCAATGAATATAAATATGTACTAGATAGTAAATATGAGGGTAGATACAAAGGCCTGGATATATGTCAATATAGATATGGAGACATATTGTGTATGTAGAGTCATATTTAGTCCTGACAGCTACAGTGTGACTTTGAACTCACATAATGTCCATTATGAACATGTCTTCTTATCTGTAAATTAAACATTGAATTTAAAATTTCCTGAGAATTCTCATTTTGCTCCAAGATTTTGTGACATTGCACCTCTTTTCCAAACAAACCAATCTCTTATCAGGAATGAGAACTAGATTTGGAGTATATTTTATGTGTTTGAAGGAAGTACAGAAGGCAAGATTTTAAACTCAGCATGCTTTCCAAAAATAACATATTTAATAACTTCTAGAGAAGGACTGGCATCTGTGGACTTTATTTTTCTTTGCTGGCTTTCAAATACATTTCTGTCAGCATCATTAGTTCCTCATCATAATGGTATCTTCAGCCAATGAGATAAAACATGAAACTTACTATGTTTCATCATCATTCATTAAAATACATCATCAAAGACTGTCCAAATCCCTTATCATTACACTCCCAGTAATACCGTTGTGTAGTACATTCAGGAAAACACAAAAAGTTCATGAGAAAGGATCTGAAGGAAACATCCTGAATACAGAGACATTTTCCCGTGGAAGCCAGGCAGTCACTAATGTGCTCAATCAATTCTAAAGTAGCATCTCTCACAGTCAAGGACTTTGGAGTCGATGTTTTTCAAAGTGGACAGATCCTGAATTATTGGGGGCTTTTACTCAAACTACAACCCTTAAACATTCTGTTAAAAGAGGCTGAGGGTGGGAGAGGAAACAAAAGCCTGCAGGAAAGGAACTCCACCTTGCTCGGACTTGAATGTCCTTTTGGCTATGGCACCAGCCTTGGAGACTGCACCTGCTTTCCCATCTTGAAACTTAGAGGCAGTACAATGGCGGGTTTTAGAGATGAAAAGGACTGAACTCTTTATCAGATGCAGGTACTGCGGACCCCAGAAATTAAGTGACTTGCTCGAGGTTACTAGGACCTAAGGTACTAGATGCTTGTTAGCCTAACTTTGCAATCCTTACTCTGAGTTTTCAGTAGGGATAAGATACTAGAAAGTTACATTTAATCTTAGCTGTCTTCCCTCAGCCTTCCTGGGACACACCAATATGGCAGGGGTAGCAGCCCATTACAGAGTTTTGCTGACACTTAAGGTCTATCCAGTTGGTCCCTGATGTCACTACCTCTTTATTAGCTCAAGAGTTCTTAGAGGAGCAATTGTACCCAGGCTCAGAATTACCAAGGGATATGAATAGAGGGCAGTCTGAGCACTGGCCCTAATGTCTGCAGAAAGTACAGAGCTGTCCCACATGACACAGCTGGCTGACATCCACTTGACTCAGCAGCCCCAGTATCCTTCCTTGGGTAGCACACTGGCCTCACCATTCTAGCAACTGCAAGAGAACGGGGTTCCTTTGGGAGGGTGGGAAAGGTTCTGATAATACTTGCACCTAGAGCTGCCTCTTCTTCCGGTACCAGGATTTTGGTCTCTCACTCACTCAAGAACGAGATACTGCTGCTTAAAGTATCCTTTTAAAAAGCTGGGCTATTTTAGTTCTATGTGGAAGCCATGTTCACTTGGACCAAAGTGTTAACTTTGTCCTCCTGTATTTCTTTGTTTTTTTTTTTTGTTGTTGTTTTTTTGTTTTTTTTAATGGAGTCTTGCTCTGTCACCCAGGCTAAAGTACAGTGGTGTGATCTTGGCTCACTGTAACCTTCACCTCCCGGGTTCAAGCGATTATTCTCCTGCCTCAGCCTCCTGAATAGTTGGGATTATAGGTGTGCACCACCATGCCTGGCTAATTCTTGTATTTTTAGTAGAAACAGGGTTTCACCATGTTGGCCAGGCTGATCTCGAACTCTTGACCTCAAATGATCCACCCATTTTGGCTTCCCAATGTGCTGGGATTATGGTGTGAGTCACTGCACCTGGCCTGTGTGCCTCTATTTTAGGGCACCCTTGAAGCTTTCTCTTTTTCCAGGCTTTCCTTATTCCTTTACTTTTAAACTAGTTTAAGCAAATAATGACTTGGTGGAGCTGGCCTCTGACATGTGGAAACTGGGTTTGGAAACCTGTTCTCCACCTACCCTTCCCTACCCCATTTCTCATCTCTGCTTTTCTCTGTTGGTAACTTCATATTTTTTCTTCTGCAGATGTGCTTTCTTTCTGCAGGAGCGAACACAATCACGAATAGCTTGGGTCTTACTGTATTTCTGCCTGGGGATTCAAGAGTAAAAGGAAATTTTACTTAAAATTCCAAGGGTAGAATACTGATTGGCCCAACCTGAGTCATAGGCTTATTTCTGGACCAATCACTGCAACCAAGGGAGTGTGGTATTCTGATTGAGTAGGTCTGGATCCCATGTCTCTTTAAGTGGCTAGGACAATGGCAGCCCTCAGCAGAACCACCTGGTTGATGTCAGAAAGGAAGAATTCCCTGAAGATATGGCAGATGAGTGTGGGTGGAGGGATGAATACTGTTGTAAGAAGGGGAAAAGTTGGTCATAAGTAGGCACGAAGAAAGGATATGCTCTAATCTCTTTCCACAAACATTCCTCTCTACCAGATAGGGTTTTATTAAGGGACAAAGAACTGAGAACTGAAAAATAGAAATAAGGTTTAAAATACATACTTTCAAATAGCAATACAAGCAAAAATTAAAAATTTGCTACAAATTAGGAAAAGATGGATTTTTTTTTAAACCATGGTAATCTTTCTTTCTTTCTTTCTTTTGTTTTGTTTTGTTTGAGATGGAGTCTTGAACTGTTGCCCAGGCTAGAGTGCAGTGACATGATCTCGGCTCACTGCAACCTCCGCCTTCTGGATTCAAGCAATTCTCCTGCCTCAGCTTCCCTAGTAGCTAGGATTACAGGCACCCGCCATCACACCTGGCTAAATTTTTGCATTTTTTAGTAGAAACTGGGTTTCTCTATGTTGACAAGGCTGCTCGCAAACCCCTAACCTTGTGATCCACGAGCCTCGGCCTCCCAAAGTGCTGGGATTACAGACGTGAGCCACCGCACCCAGCCCCAGGACCAGTTTTAAACCTGTTCCATAGACAACTCATCTCAATGAACACGCATATAGCCAACCAATCAGTGTCAGTCTTTTGCCTCTAAAAGTCCACCAATCAGCAAGGGACTCATTCGTGTAAACACACCAGGGACAGCACACCAATCAACAAGGGTCTCACCCCAGTCATCATGCTTCTGCAAATGATATCAACCCCTTACACCTCTTAAAGTCTGCCAATCCTTGAAGTACATGTTTCTCAAAAACCCAATAGGAAATAAATGCTTTGTTCTGCTCACAGAAACTGCGTCGAACCAGTTTACCTCTCCCTTACCATAGTGAGCAATACGTTCAGGTTTTTTTTTTCTTTCCAGCTCTGTTTAGGTTTCTTGAACATTTTTAGAATCCCATTTTTGTTTCTAGTGTTTTTCAGTATGTATCATTGAACAGCTTTTTAAGTAGTTGCTTTAGGTATTACATACATAACTTATCAAAATCGACTGGCATCAGTATTTTACCAGTTCAAGTAAAGTTTAGAAACCTTGCCTTTATTTATATCCCTTTACCCGCTCTCATTAATAATATAATTATCTTAAATATTTTATCTACATGCATTGAGAACCACATTAGACAGTGTACAAATTTTGCTTCAGCCATCAAACATAATTTGGAAGTCTCAAGAGGAGAAGGAAATTTTATTTGCCATATTTTTTCTATTATTATATCCTTTCTTACTTCCAGATGTCCCATGACTCCTTCCTTCACAATTTGTTTTGTGTTTAGAGAACTTCCTTTGGCCATTCTTTTAATGTTTGTCTGCTGGGGACGAGGCAAATTCACTTAGTTTTCTTTTAACTGAGAATATCTTGATTTCGCCATTTTTGAAGGATATTTTTGCTAGATGTAAAATTCTGTGTTGACAGTTCTTTTCTTCCAGCACTTGAAAAGTGTGCCACTTTCGCCTGGCCTTCATGCTTTTTGGTGAGAAAGCTACTGTTCCAGTTGTTTTTTCCCTGTTTGATAAGGTATTGCTTTTCCTCTGGCTGTTTTCAAGATTTTCTCTTCGTTTTTAGTTTTCAGAAGTTTGACTCTGATGTGTCTTGGTGTGGATTTCTCTGAATTTTTCCTATATGGGATTCACTTTGCTTCTCAAATCTGTAGTTTTAACTCGTTGGTTTTTTTTTTTTTTTTTTTTTTTTTTCCAAATTTGAGAGTTTTTCAGCCATTATTTCTTGGAATATATTTTCAATCCCCATCTTATTGTTCTCTCCTGATACTTGTTATAATCTCACGTATCTCTGAGGCTTCACTCATTTCTTCAATGTATTTTCTCTCTGTTGTTCAAATTAGGTATTTTTAAGTTCACTGATTCCTCTGTTTCGGTCATTCTTCTGTTGTGTGCATACATTTAGTTTTTTAATTTTGGTTTTTGTATTTTTTTGTAGTTCCAAAATATATGTTCTGTTCTTCTTTATATCTTCTAAGTCTTTGCTGAGACT